ATTAAAGCAATGAAATATTGAAATATCTACTGTTGCAATATAATATAATATAATATAATATAATATAATATAATATAATATAATATAATATAATATAATATAATATAATATAATATAATATAATATAATATAATATAATATAATATATATATATATATATATATATATATATATATATATATATATATATATATATATATATATATATATATATATATATATATATATATATATATATATATATAGTTAGTAAGTCTTCACTGACATCAATTTTCCTTTATAAATGTTTCAACTTGTGTTGTCAATACTTCTGCATTTAATTCTAGATATTTCCAAATGAAACTGAATCTATCCAGAATTGCTTGCGACTATCAAACTATTTTGACTATTAAAGAAAAAATACACATTTGCCTTAAAATTACCTACTTATTTAAATTCAAATGTTTGCTAGTTGTATTCTGGGTTCCTTAATTTGCTTATCAGGAGATTCATCATAAAATTGTTTGCGCTATTTAGACCTATTGGAAAGAAATAAAGGCGCAAAACTTTGCATCTTCTAGTATTTTATTTCAAAGCAAACGCAACTCAGTAATAAAACTTCAAATACATTGTATTTGAATATTTATTGTTGAACTTTGCGCTTGAATGATCTGATTTCTTTGATCTATTTGTACAATCTCACAAGCACAATCTCACAAGCACAATCTCACAAGCACAATCTCACTCACATTGCAGACATACTTTCAACCACATTGAAAACATACTTAACCACATTGCAGACATAGCTAAACATTCAGAAGACATTATTATACCTTAAAATACGTGGACTTCTGAACGTGTTTCCTGATTAAAATTTAGAGATAAAACTGTATTAAGTGCTTTCTAACCTAGTAAATGAGCTGAAAATGGTCTAACGTTATTGACATGATCAGACTATTGAGCTTGACATAAATAAATTCAAAATATGACAAGCACACGATTAAAACATAGCAAATGAAATTTCCTTAAGAATGCAAGCTTCTACGTCAATGTTTTTTCCGGACATAATAGATCCATTATTGCATCCCTGTCATCGACAATCAACAATTTGATCTGAGTTTCTTTTTTGAGTGTTTAAAACTAGTGAAGCAACATCAGCTCCAGTTTTTTTATTAAAATCAACGAATTCCAAATACTTTCAAGAATTTCATATATATAACAATCACTACTTCTAAAAACGTAAGGCAAAGTAAATGTTGTCAGCTCTATATACGCAGAATCAGGTGTGACATTAACAATTAACAAAAGATGTTTTTTTCCCTGCTAAAATCTTACTTTTGACTAATAAAAGACAAACTGAGATTTTTGTTTCGTGTCTATAAGTAATGAAGTTGTAGTCTTTTTCCTGATACAGGTGTTAGTGCTACTCAATGTTCAATCTTCGAAGAATATTATCATTATGACTTTACAGTTTAACTAAACCTAGAAAATTTCTATTATCTGAACCTTCTATTTTGTTTAACCATCCCCTGATTGCTAGTCCTCTTTCCCCTAGAAATAACGTTACATTTAAAATCCGTTTCAAAATTTCTTTCCAGATAACAGTTTATGACAATATACTCTTTAGATATTAGTTATTTAATGTTTAACTGCAATTAATGCGTTATTCTAAATCACGCCATTAAAGATAATACTGCTTGTGAGCGTTTTTATTTTTTGCTCTTCTGAAATTTTTTTTGCACAACCATAACCATTTTGATGTCCTTAAAAAACCTTCTGGAGCCACCAAACGTGATCAAATTGATGTGTGCTGCTTCGAAAATAAGTAGCAAGAAAAGCAATACAGTGCTTGTTTCATTTGGCTCTATACCAGCCAATCAAAAACTGTGTTTATAGAATTTTATAATTTCTGATGAAAAAAAGTTAGGTTAAGTTAACTGAAAAACAGAGTCAGGAAACAAACAATTTTGGATATCTTTAGGTAACGTCTGCGGCATTTTTTTAAGATCTTAAAGCACTGCCATTTCAATTTCTATAACCAATAGGAATTGTGAAACCAACATCACTTCCGAAATGTGCACTCCAGATTCACAAAGTGTTTGTCGTTGTTGTTTGAATCAATGTTCACACTAGTATATACAAATATATCTAATTTTAAATGTCTTTTCTCTGAAAATATTAACTATAAATGTTTCCAGGCCTAAATCTTTTAAAGATGTTTAACAATAAAAAACAATAACACTAGATAATGTTTCGATAACATTATCTAGTGTTATTGTTTTTTCAGTTGTCTTCGTCAATTACTGTACTAGTCACTCCCTGATGCCAAAGTCCAACAATAAATAGTGTTGGCTGTCTAAACTTTATTTGTTCGGTTTGAATTTTTTTTCTAGCTTTTTAGTTTCAGAGTTGTAGAAAAATTACTTGTTTTTATCTATTTTTAAAGATCAGTACAATACTCTTTTCCGAAACCTTGTTTGTGTTTGTAAAAGTAAATTTTTTGATGACATCAAATGACAAAAAATGTAAGCTAAAAAAAAGTCGTCCAAAAGTAAACAAATGTAAACTAAAAACAAAATTTCTACCAAATAAATATTTATTATCTTCTGATATTAAAGCTCAAAATTAAAAAAGAAACCAAATTAAAAGATTTTCTTTTAAAAATTTTCGCTTTTGAAATGAATTAAGAACAGATACAGGTTTTCAAATAACAAGCAGTTATAACAGCCTTCAACTATTTTAAAAATACTGAATTTTCAATTTCTATTAAAGGAGCAACAGTACAAAATAAAATAGTAACTAATAATATTAAAACACTTGCAACACTTAATGAGTTTGTTAAAACATATGTAACATTTAATGAGTTTGCTAAAACACTTACAACACTTAATGAGTTTGTTAAAACACTTGTAACATTTAATGAGTTTGATAAAACACTTGCAACACTTAATGAGTTTGTTAAAACACTTATAACACTTAATGAGTTTGTTAAAACACTTGTAACACTTAATGAGTTTGTTAAAACACTTGCAACACCTAATGAGTTTGTTAGAACACTTGTAACACTTAATGAGTTTGTTAAAACACTTGTAACACTTAATGAGTTTCTTAAAACACTTGCAACACTTAATGAATAACTAAATAAATTAAAACACTTGTAACACTTAATAAGTATGTTAAAACACTTGTAACACTTAATGAGTTTGTTAAAATACTTGCAACACTTAATGAGTTAAAGGAATAGTCCATAAATTAAGTCACAAGATTTTCGACCGTTTTAAATCCCCTCTCAGCCCAACCTCGTCACAAAATCGTAATACTTTAGTAGCAAGTTTTGTATGAATCGTCACAAAACCATTAACTCCTCCCCCTCCCCCCTACTATTGATAAACTTGTTCAACATTTGAAAGTTTATCATTATAAAATTGGTAACTTTTGGAATAGTTGTATTGTTTGTGATTGTATTGTTTTTAGTTGTAATGTTTATAATAGTTTCTATTCTACTTAAAAATTTATGATTTACAAAAATTCATGTACAATCTATTTATATTATAAAGTGTACCAATTATTTGTTTTTTATATTATAAATTTACGGTATAGATAACGGGGGTTTGTAAATAAGGTCAACTATGTCTTATACTTACTCTGGCTATTTGTTTTTACATTATGTTTTGTAGTTTTAAGATAAATTATATTTTTTCAGAATTTTATGCTAAGTAACCTCTGATGAGTAAAACAGTCATTTTTTAACAAACTTTTCAAATGTGCTATGTTCGATCATTAGACACCAGCAAGTTTTTGCATAAAGTTGCTTCAACCTGGAGTAGATAGTTCATAATAAATAAGAGTTAACTCAAAAATAAAAAAAAAATCTTAAGTTAACTAGCGGCTACCTTATTTGAAAAATCAACATAAACCGCTTTAAAGACACCATTTTTTGTAGAATTACAAATGCACCATTAAAAATAAGTAAACGTGCACAAACTAAAACTTTCTAACGATTTATTTTTCTGCATTAAGTTAAAATTTTCCAGCGAATAAGATAAATGTTTTTTTTTTTTTTGTTTTTTTAACTTAAAAACGAAAATATCTGAAATTTTTTTAGCTACCCCAAAATGTTGCAACATTCAAAAACATATGTTTAAAAATATTTTATTTACATAAGTTTATTTGGCTTTTTATGTAAAACTACCCATTTTTACACGACTCAAACATGTTTACAAAATTATAAAAATGAAAAAATATATTATTTACGTTTCATTATACATGAAAATACGTGGGAAAATGTATTTCCCCAAGACTCTTTTTAAATATTTATTAAATATAAATCGCTCTAGTCTATGTTTCATAACGAATTATGTAAAAAAAAAAAAAAAAAATTTAAATACGATAGAATCAAGAAGACTTGTAATTTTCACATTATAGTTTTATGGCTTATTAAAGGAACTCCGCCTTGAAACCGTTGACTTTTTTCTGAAAATTGCTCTTGCGAATTAGGCATAATACCAAGTAAGTCTGCATTTTAGTTGAAACCTAATTAGTTTAAGATAATAGTTTACTCAATTAAATATTAAAGTTAAAAGCTAATTTTAAAAAAACTAATATTAAAAGTAAAAAGCTATTCTTGACTCCTTGGCAAATCAAATTTTCATCTAGTTAACCATTTAAGTGTTCTAAAAAATTAGAGAGGGTAATAGTAAAACTCAAAAAGTCTCTTTACAAAAATGAGAATAATAAAACCAAAAAAGTCTCTTGATGAAAATATACTTATTATAAACCCAGGGCCGACAACACGTGGGGGACAGGGGGCACGTGCACCCTCACTTTTTTCCTTTTAAAGGAATTTTTTTTTAAAGAAAAATCTTGATATAGAGGACTTTTTTTACAAATTGATAATTGGGCCCCCCCCCCACTTCAAAATTTGTGTCGTTGGTCCTGAAACCAACTGTTTTATATGAACACATATCTGAAAGGAAGTAAATACACACACAAAAAAAAATATTATAATAAAAAAAAAATTATTTAATTTCTATAAATATTTTTGCTCATTCTAAATAATATTGATACACATAAAAAAAAAATTTCCAAAAACTTATGCTACGTTGCATACATGTCACTGTGAAGTACGTCATTGCGAAGAGTTTAACGATTTTGATCTTTTGCGAACGTAGTAATTTCTTGACATATCTGTAACAATTATTTCATTATCTTTTTCACATTTATTAAAATCCCAATCTTCAACTTTTATTTCAATGTTTACTGTTTTGACTTCTTCATTATTCTGTAAACTACACATGGGTCTATCGAGACTTGGATAGCTAGACAATGTTACTTTTTTCTCTACATCGTTTAATGAACCAGATCTAGGGCGTGACTGCCACTTCAACATAATCTCCTTTCATTTGGACAGCTTTAATGTTAAACTTAAAAAAAAAAATTAAAACCATTGTATCATATAGTATATATAAAATAAAAATAAAACGCTTATTTAAAATTCACAAAAGTATTGCGAAGTCCTTGTTAACTCAAACATCGGATTATTAATTAACAATTTTTTTTTTTTTGTAAAAAAGATGAATAAGAAAAAAATATGAAGATTTGTACCATTTTTATTAACTTGTAAAATTATGAGAAAATAATTGAAAAACCGATCAAAAACTTTTATAACAATAATTAACAATAAAGCTTTGTTCTTACTTCAATAATATAAAATTGATTCTAACAATTTATGCTATAGACTCATAAAAGTAACGTTTGTTTGTATTTCAAATGTCTATAAAACAAAAGTTTTACTGCTGCGTGTTAATTCCTTACAGCGATTGCTACAATTTTTAGAAATAGGATGGGAAGGAAAAAAAAAAAAAAAAGTATATATATATACTATGTCTGTATGTGTGTGGGAAGGAGGGAGAGAGGGAAAACCCTCCTAAACCCCCACTTGTCTATGGTCATATTTATATTCATATAAATATATATATATATATATATATATATATATATATATATATATATATATATATATATATATATATATATATATATATATATATATGTATATATATATGACCGTAGACAAATGGGAGTTTGGGAGGATTTTTCCTCTCTTACTCCCCCCCCCCCCACACACACACACGCAGACACATAACCGCACACACTTTTTGTTTTTGTTGGGCCTCATTAAAAATATTTTTAAAAAAGTTTGAAAATATTGATAAAAATTTCGTTTTTTAAGTATCTATAGAAAAATATTTCGCAATTAAATGAATGATAAAAGTAAAAGAGGCGCAAATAATTGTAAACGCACCGATTCTATTCTATCGTTTTAAAAAAAAATATAACTCGCTGCGTAGAAGCCATTGAAACATTGTATTGAAAGCTTGAAAAAATCTCTCAAGAATTTAATATTAAAAATTATACATTATTAGTTAACTTATATATCAGTTTGCATAAGATAACGAAGACGGCCTCGTTCTAGAAACGTTTGTATTCGCATTGTTGAAGCTTTTAAATGCATTTTTTAGTTTTAAATTAAACTTAGAATTTTTTTTTTTTATAATTGTAGTAGCATAGCCTACAATTGTTTTTCTACAATTTACTTTAGTGATATATCATAAAAACGAAAATTGCGGAAGGTAAGTGTCTTAATCAATTTAAGAAAAAATTGGAAGGGCACTCTTAGTTGTCTTATCAACTTTTCCACTACATTTACTGTTAAGAATACATCTCTTGCTAACCATGCAACTACCGCATCACGTACGCATTAAATATTATAATTGAATTGATACTTATTTTACTTGATATCATAAAAAACATTTTTAAATAATAAATTACCACGAAAACCTTATGTGAAATTACAAGAAACTACGTGAAAAAATTGATTCTACCATTCCGTTAAGTAAATTAACTTGTAGAACTAATTTGTATTTATAATATTTAAGCAATGCGCATCCCATAATAATTTGTGTAAAATATTTATAATAATAATTTATATATATACATATATATCAATATATAATATATATAACAATAATTTATTTAATAATTTGTGTAAAAACTGATAAAATCATATGATTTTATCAGTTTCTATTTAATAATTTGTGTTAAAGTTTTGTTTTAAATTTATTTTTCCCACTTCTACTCACACTTGTCCCACTTTACCGCAACGGCACGGTTTCACTAGCAAGCAAAAATTTATATACTTTGTTATAATTAGCTGGAAACCTAAGGGCATTGAATCGGTGCCTAAAAAGAAGGTTTATTCGTAAAAACTTGTTTGGTTCAGTTTATACATAAAATAAAAAAATATTGTAATTACCCTAAAAAAAATTTTACGTGTCCCACTTCTCCCCTCTCACCTATGCACTTCTCCCCTCTTCCCTCTCCCCTATCACATGTATATATAATAAGAATAATTAGTACTATTTTATTAACATAACATACGGGCAGAATATTATCATGTACTATACAAACATACTTTTTTATTTTTACAGGATTGCATGATATGAACTTATTGACGGAAACGCCTTTAAAAATCACCTGAGTTTTTTTTTGAATTTAAGAGTCAAGTAATTAGATAATAGATCAATAAATATTTTTTTAAATATAACTTTTAAATAATAATTTTAGAATATAAATGTGTTTTGTAATTCAATTTTTTTTTCCTAAGTTTTTCACAAATTTTTTTTTACTTGAAGACAAATTTTATTTTTAAACAGTTTTAACCGCACAATTTCAACGCACAAATACAAATAATTAACAAATACAAAACAATACAAAAATACGAAACAAATGCAAACCTAATATACTGACTAATATCAAAACTACAACCAATAAAATTACAAACTAACATTGATCTCAACAAAAAATAATACAATAGATTAACAATAAAAAAAGTTAAACAATGTACTCGTAACTTTATTGTTTTGCATGTGCTATTGCGCATTAAAAAATCTTTTTATGCTCAAAATTTTTTACTCGATCAAACAAACCCAGCTCTGTGCTTCGATATGTAATGATTTTTTATGTTTCCAGAGAGTAAAAATGTACATTTAATATAAACTTAAATAATATGAATTAATCATTATTTGCTACATTAATTTATTAATACACTTATAAATATTTAATGTTGTGTTAAAGCTCCATGGAAATTATTTTTTTAATTTGACTATTGTTATTTTTCAATTTATATATTTTAAGATAAAAGTGAATATAATAAGAATTTATAAACACGAAATTTATTTATATATATATATATATATATATATATATATATATATATATATATATATATATATATATATATATATATATATATATATATATATATATATATATATATATATATATATATATTAATAATAACTTATTTATTTTATTTGTTCTGTTTTATTTATCAAAATATGTAATGATTTAAATAATTTTTTTTTAATGAATAATAATAAATGAATTGTATTTGTGTTTTATAAATTGTTTGTTGAAAGTATTGTTGATAGAACATTAAGCCTGTTACATAACATTTATATCTTGTTCTTGATTCAAAAAATTTCTTATTTACCATATATTTGTTTATTATGCACGCAGCATAAGTTAAACAAATCCACACAGAGTGCCCTATTGCTCTTAATTAATTAGAAAAAATGCTTCTAGTTTTTTTCCGTAAGTCAAAGTCCTCTTTTTACAATTCCGTTTGTTGTTCCGTTTGTTGAAAGTATTTTGATTGTGCGGAAATGTTGTAAAGTTCCGTTAGTGAGGAAATAGTAAATTATTAAGAATAAATAAACGGATGAAGAAGTTATAACTCATTATGTAACTTTTTTGTAAGGAGGTTTCTTGAAAATCTTTTCTATCATAAAAATCTTTTCTATCATAAAATAATAAATAATATTTTTGAAGGATAAAGAAGAAACTTTTGATTTAAAAAAAATGTTTTAGTCATCTTTTTTTTTTTCTTTTTTAAAATCTTGAATTGAACTATTATTTTTTTCAGAAAACGTTTTTTTTATTTATTTTGTATATTTTCATATATTTTTATAGATTTATTGAGAAACGTGGTTGGCGGAAGAAAGTATCACTTCGAAGTAAAAGTATACTTAATTATGCGCGATTTATTCATGCGGAAACGTTGATTTGAAAAAAAAGTCACGTGTCAAAATAAATCAGCAAAATATAATAAACTTGACGAGATTTCACTGCAAGATCCTTTTGTCATGTGAAAGTACACATGAATTGTACGCCGGTGGTCCCCGAGTTTGTTTCCTGTGGTTAACTTATGTTTAAATTCTTATGGAACAATAATTTATAATTTAATAAAAAGGGGGTTAAACGGGCGTAAAAAGAGAAGTCTTTATAGATTTTTAATTGTAATTATTTAATTTATATATATATATATATAATATATATATATATATATATATATATATATATATATATATATATATATATATATATATATATACATAAATATATATATATATATATATATATATATGTATATGTATATATATATATGTATATATGTATATATATATATATATATATATATATATATATATATATATATATATATATATATATATATATATATATATATATATATATATATATATATATAAATATATATATATAAAATATAAAATGATTTAATTTCTTCAACAATGTTTTTATTTTTTTATTTAGAATTGCTTTAAACTTTCAATAAAGTTTTGAACGCGTCATCCAATTTTTTTTCTTAGGGCCAACGACACAGGTTTCGAAGTAGGGAGGGGGGGAACAAAATCGTTAATTTTTTAAAAAAAGTCCTCTATATCTAGAATTTTCTTATATTTTGTTTAAAAAAAAAAGGTTCTTTAGAAAAAAAGTGGAGGGAGGGGGGCCGTGCCCCCATATCCCTCTACCCCCCCCCCCCCCCCCGTGTCGTCAACCCTGTTTCTAAATTATTTTTTTTATAATTTGAAGTAATAAGCGAAATAATTTATGCATTAGTCACGGCTGTTACACTGTCGCTAATACTCAGTATATGAAAGAATTTTTACTGCGAATTGCAAATAATTATCTCAAGAAATGTATAACTTTATTTTATTCTGTAAAAAGTATTATTTATATAACACATAAGAACAGTAGAAAAGTATTATATTAAGTTTTTACTCGAACCATACTTATTACTTTAGAAAAAAAATGTTCCAAAAGTTTTTTTTTATATTTTGAACAGAATATTTTCTTAAGTATTACTCTAAATCTCTCAAGATATACAGCTTATAAAACAACATTTTTTTATTCTGTAAAAAGTATTATATAAACAATACTTTAGAGAAAAAAAAAATGTTATGAGTAATTAAAAAAAGTTTTACTCGAATCGTAACTATTTCTTTCGAAAAAGTAAATTCAATTTTTTTTTTTTAAAATTATGAACAGCATATTTCTTTTAATAAAGCTCAATATTAAATTATTGTGTAAGTTGTTACAGACTGTAACAACTTACACAATGTTGTGCTTTGATGAGAAAATATACAGTGGCAGGTCAGGGTAACTTACAGTGGCACGCCACTTAAACAACTTGCGTAATGAGGAAATGTTAAATTTAGTACGCAATGGTGTAGCGAGAATTTTAGCACCCAGGGCAAAAATGTAAAGAAGCACCTTTTTTACAATAGAATAAAAAAATATTGCTTTTTATAATAACACCCTTTACCCCTTTAAGTCTTCGAGCCCGGAGGCAATTTTCCACTCGGCTCCCCGCTGCATTGCTGAGTTGGTAAAAACAAATAGCAGATGCTCAAACAAAAAATTAGAAACATTTTTCTCACAAGTTGTTCACTTTATACAATTTAATGATTAAAAAAAATGGTACAAAACAAAATTTTATTACAGGCAAGTTGGTTTTATTAAATGTTTGTTTTGTTTTTCTTTTAGTTAAATATTAACTACAAACAATTAGGCGTAATCATTTACGATTTGCCTCTTTATGGATTAGTAGAGTGATTGAATAAACAAGTTTTCTGTTTTAAAAAAATTTAGAATTGTAATATTACAAAAAAAGCATTAAGAATTTCTTGAAAATGAAACTTAAAAAATCTAATTTCGCTTATAAACGCGAGCAAATAAACATATAATTTTTTCATATAATACGAGGCAACTTGTTAATAAATTTGTATTTGAATCCGCTATTCGGCGCGTTAAGCTATTGAAAAGTTATAATGAAGTGTTATAGGATTTTGAAAAATGTTGTGTGATGTTCTTAACGATTTAAGTAGCGGATTTCAACAAACATATTGCAAAGCCTTTAAAACACAATGCATAAAAAATTATGTCAAAAGCTTTTGTAGTTATCACGCGAAATGCCTTTATATATAGCTCATTTTCTTTCTTTGTATATAGCTTATTTTACAAGTAAAATATTGATTTTGATTGTTAAAATAATGAAAGTTATTTTACTTGAAAAAATTATTATTTATATATTAATATTGTTTGGTTATTTAACTGCACATTAAAAAATAACTATTGAAGAAATATATTTTAAGATATAAAAGATTAAAAATCTTAGGTTAAACGAAAATATGCGAAAAACTTCTGTTCAATTTGATTTTCAAGCTTAGCGGAAGTGACAAAAATGCTCTTTGAAACAGCCGTGTAATACAAGTATATTAAATTAGTATAATTATATTAAATTAGCATAGGACTTTTGCCTTTTGAGTGATACTTTCTTTTGCCAACCAAGAAACATTGGTTCTACAAGAATAAATAAATTCTATTTTACAATTTCGTTTGATTTCTAAGTTACAAGCATTTAAAAGTAAAAAAAAAAAGTTCAACTATACGTCTTTTCAATTTAAATGTATTGACTTTTTTTAAAATGCTATATTTTGCTATAGAATGCTCTTACATTCCAAGATATTGTTAGCTTAGCATAGGAACAGCCACAAATAATTATAAAAATTATTTCAAAGTAGCGTCCGTTATTGACCAACATTTTTGCGTACCGAAGTATTAATCAAGCGCTGAGTTAGCAGTGACTGGATTTGAACTCGTATCGCACAATATTCCAGGTTCTAACAATTCGTTTGACGCTCTGACATACTGAATTATCCAGCCACAAAAAAATTTATACAATTAATAGAAATAAAACAATTAAATAGATTAAATGATGCAATTAATTACAAAAATGAGGAAGTGAAGTAAGAAATATTAGTTTCTACATTTTTTGGTACAAAAGAACTCATCACCAAACGTGTATTTTTTTGGCAATCATGTAAAACACATAAAGCTATAACGTTTTAAATTTTTGCACGTAAACCATTAGTTATTTTCATATGTTGCATTTTTGTTTTCATGTTTAGGATGCTTCTTGAATTGTTTTTGTTTTTTCTTCGATGTTTGTTTCTTGGATTGACTATCCAATGGCTCATTATTTTTCGTAGCGTTAAAATCAAACTTTTTTTTTTTCAATTCTCTCATTCTCCTGGTCTTCAGTCTGTTTGATTACGCTTAGCATCTCGGGTAAATTGAGACATTTTTCTTCAGGTCTGCTAATCTGGCCTTTTTTTTTGTTTTGTAGTGTAGACATGATTAACTCGTAGTTGTTCTTTTAACAAACTTTCTGTTTTCTTGAGTAGCAGTTTGAATTAGATCAACATTTGCTTTAGGATTTATCACAACTACTAATTATATACTGATATCACAAAAACTAATTGATTGAGATTGGCGCGTGTTTTAAAATCCTGTAGTAATGTATCGCCCAATCACTGATCTCTATAATAAATAGTTATTATAGAGATCAGTGCGCCCAATAGATAAAAACGATGACACGCTCACTCAGACTCTTGCTTCTATTAAAGCAGCACAATAGGTGCTGCCGAAATTTAAGTGTTTAACAATGCTGTATGGTGGTTTTAATTTTAGCCACATCAGTTATGAATCATGCAATGTTGATGGTGGTGTAGAAACAACCGCTCATGGAACTGAATAACGTCCCGGTGACATCAAATTCCAAGAGTGTCTTAAAGACTGCTATTTAACTCAACTAGTAACATTCCCAAAATTTCGCAATAACATGCTTGCAACTCCAAGTATCACGCTTGACCTCGTCATCACCAATAATCCTGATCGCCTAACCTCAATAAACGAAGGAAAATTGCTTGAACATCCACCAAAGGAAAAAGCTCACTGTTATTTAGTCGGTCTTTTTGCAGTATACTTTAAAAAGAATCAATTAACATCTCCTAGTCGCTTTCGGCTTATCTGGAGTAAACCAAATTTCGATGCAATTTCATTACATTTAACTTCTAAAGTAATTTCAACCAATCTCTCTGTAAACGATCTGTACAGTTGGTTTATTGAAGTATACAACGAAGCTGTAAAACTGCACATTCCATCAACTACGACTCTAATTAAAACTAAGCAAAATCTTTGCGTCACACCAAAAGTATAGAAAGCAGTAAAATCAAAACGTATAACTTGGCCAAAATACGTTGCTGCAGGTAGAAATTCCCATGCAAAATTACGTAATAAACATCAGGCTGCATGCAAACAAATGAAAATGCAAGAAAAAAGTGGTCAATGCGGCTGTCCTTTATTACGAACAATAACTTATGAGCAGTTCCCAAAACGTCTGTACTTACACGTAAAAAACAAGCTTAAGATACATAACTACATTAGTAAGCTTGAAGCTAGCAATGGTAACATCACCAAAAACTTTAAGTTTATAAGTTCTACAATAAACAATTATTTTCACTTAGTTTTTGTCAAAGAACCTCCAAAACCTTTACCATTATTTGAAAAGAGAACAACATCAACTTGCGAAATCGACGAAAGTTTGTTTACAGCTGCTACAGTACAAAGCTACTTATTCTGTCTTGACGAAACTAAATTGATGGGTCTTAACGGAGTAGATTCCCGTGTTTTAAAAAACTGCGCAAAAGCTTTTGAAATATCTCTTTTACTTATTTTCATGCAATCCTTTCGAACAGAAAATGTCCCAGATCTTTGGCGTAAATCAAATGTTATACCTATTTTTAAAAAAGGAAACAAACTTAAGGCTTGTAATTATAGGCCGGTATCTCTCACCTCTGTACCGTGCAAGGTAATAGAGAGAATTATAAAAGAGAGGATTATGAAACACTATACACTACACAATTTAATTTCAAAGTCTCAACATGGATTTGTAAACCACAAAAGTTGCTTTATAAACCTAATTGAATCCCGTGACATTCTCACGGAGGCAGCTTACCGTGGATACCTTGTTGAGATTTTTACAGACTTTGACAAAGCTTTTGACACAGTGCCACACAAAAGACTCCTTCACAAGATTTAGGCCTATAGCATTAGAGGTCAGCTATTCCACTGGATCTCTGCTTGACTAAGTGAAAGAAAACAACGTGTAGTTATTGGGGAACAAACTTACGAGTGGAAAAGAGTGACAAGTGGAGTTCCTCAAGGATCATTACTTGGACCATTGCTATTTGTGCTCTTTGTCAATGACTATCCAGATGGCATTAGCAATTATACCAAGTTATACGCCTGTGATAGCAAGGTCATAGAAATTATAAATAATAATCAATCATCCTCTGATTATGAAACACTGCAAACGGACATTGACAGCGCTGTAAGTTGGTCGCATAACTGGTTTATGCACTTCAACATCGAGAAGTGAAAAGTAATGCACGTTGGTTGCCGCAAAAATAAATCATAAAATACATATCTATACTATGTCTGACATCAACGGTAACCAACATAATCTCCAACATGCATTGAGCGTGACTTTACGGGTATTAATAGCCGACAACCTCAAAGTGAAAGCACAAGTAGAAGCATTAACAATGGCCGGAAATCGAATGCTTGGTCGCCTCAAAAAGACATTTCGATGCCGTAGTCTCCCGCTTTGGAAATAATTGTACCAGCTTTACGTTCACCTAGAGTTTTGTGTACAAGCCTTGTCTCCACATCTTAAATCGGAAATCGTCCTTCTCGAACGTGCGCAAAGACGTGCAACAAAGACTATATCGTTGATTAAACATTATAATTACGAGAAAAGTAAATACAAATGCTAGGTCTAACCACGTTGGAAGAACGCAGAATTAAAAGTGACCTTATACTGCAATACAAAATTGCTCATCAGTTACAAGAAGTTGAATTTTACAAAAAATCTTTTTTTTTCCAAAACGGTTAGTCTTGGTTGATAACTACTTTTTTAGTGTGTTTATTTTACAATAATGATTTAATGCTCAAATATGCGTTTCAAAAAACCATCCTGAAATAGCATCATTCCCAGTTTTCATCCTTTAGCTTTAGGTAACATCCCTTTTGCACCACCTGTATCTATACATATAATTATCTTTTTTTAACGTAAAAGTAGACTTTTGCGTATAAAACCACATTGTTTCATAAATTGTTTCAAGCCAAAAAAAAATTTTAAATTAAAAGACATATATAAAGTTTTCTATGCATTCTTTTTTTTTATTACTACTTATAAAAAAGTTTTGTTGTCTGATTTAGCTGAGTCTTAGTTAATCCAACTTAGCCTATAGTTCATTAAATAAAAAGTTTTTTTAAGGTGTGTTTTATTATTACATTATACTAAAATAATTAATACACTATTAATGCAAATTAAATCAATTTTTTTACTGAGTAGCTAGCAAATAGTTAGTAAATAGGTAGCAAGTAGGTAGTTGGTAGGTATTAAGTATGTAGGTTGTAAGTAAGCAGGTAGTAAATAGGTAGAAAGTTGGTGGTAAGTATGTATGAAGTAGATATGTATGTAAGTTGGTAGTAAGAAGATTATAAGTAGGTAAGTAGGTGTGTAATAAGAAGGTTGAGCATGTTGTAATAAGAATGTTGAGCATGTTAACATGCTCAACATACGCAACCTTTCTCTCTCTCTCTCTCTCTCTCTCTCTCTCTCTCTCTCTCTCTCTCTCTCTCTCTCTCTCTATATATATATATATATATATATATATATATATATATATATATATATATATATATATATATATATATATATATATATACATATATATATATATATATATATATATATATATATATATATATATATATATATATATATATATATATATATATATATATAAATATAAATATATATATATATATATATATATATATATATATATATATATATATATATATATATATATATATATATATATATATATATATATATATATATCGATCGTTAAACACAGGAGTTGATTTGAATATGGACAATAGGTTTTGTAAGTGTCAACTAGTTAATTGAAAAATACTTGAAATATGACCTTATACAACAATGTCTTATTTTCTATTATTAATATATCAAAAGAAGTGAAAATGGTGGAAATTAAATGTATTGGCGTATACTATTTTTTGAGAGTTTACCTTATAATGGCTAAATGGATAAGAGGAATACTTTAATAGCAGCGTTTTACTTTATTGAAGTGATGCCGGCCTGGTAAACAAAATAAATCAACAAATGTATTATTGGTAAACTTTTACATGCTATTAGCAAATGCACAGCAAAATGATTTGATTCATAAGTTTAATGGTTTAATGAAAAAGTTTATTTTGCGCAGACATAACGATGCGCATTTCGTGTTATAAAATTTTAGGCTGAAATCATTTAACTGACATCATAGTGAAAGCATGTTTCTCAATTTACTTATTAGTCAAGTGTAATTATAAAAATACTAAAAATGATATTAAAATATTACAAATTAAAAATTTTATATTACTTAAAAAGCATTTTTTTTTTTTTATTATTATATTTATTTTGAAACTGTATCTATAAATGTTTATATATAAAAAGTATTTATAAGTATTAATATATAAACGCGATTAAATAACGAAGCTATCATAAGAAATTTACAAAACGCTTAGCTTTGCAAATTTCTAATAAAATCTTTTGATTTGCATATTTATTTTAATGATTAAATTTTTTTAATTTACTTTTATTAGAGTTAATTTGTGTTTTTTTAAATTGCTTCCTTTTTAGAAATTTTCGTATAAAGCCATTACATTCATTACATTACATTCTTTATAAGTACTTAGTTAAAGCACAATTAGTAAGAGATTTAACGGAAACTGTGTTGTGCCTGTTAAATTACAAACAACTAGTTTGAGAGTTTATTCAGTATTTAGAGATGTTGAGAGTAAGATTTCTGGAACAGGAAGGTCTTTTGTTTTTTTATTAAAAAGAACAAGTTTTTCAATAGAATTTGCTGGCAATACACTCAACATTTGGTTAGCAACATTTAGACGGTTTTGAATCTGGTTTCTATCTATATGTACCTTTTCTTTAGAATTATGCTTAAAAAAGTCTGGCTTATTATATTCAAAGAGACCGTTGTTTCGGTTGATGTGACGTCCACCCTGAAATCTCCAATCGGTTTTTTCCTCCTCGTAAATAGGTGGTGGTGGGTTTTCAAATGGATTGCGAAATTTGTGATTATGGTTTTTTATACTAAAGTCTGTTGGTTTTTGATTGGGTTCTAAAACTTTATGAAGTTGTTCATTTGAAACATCATCAAAGTCTTCATGAAATGGTTCTCGATCCTCATTAAAATCGAATGTAGGAGGTTTAAAATACCCACCACTATCATTGTCGTGATCATCGTCACCTTCTGGGAAATCTTTATTATTTGATTTCTTAGCAGGGTGGTTTCTGTAATTCAGTTCACTATTTTTAGGTAAATGTTCTCTAATAACATGGTATTTATTTTTACTGCGAAGATTTCCTTTATCGTCTGCCACGATATGAATTGGTTTCACTCCCACGTTTATATGTATAGGTTTCAATTCAATATCAGAAGGGTATTTAAGCGGAGTCATTATGGATTTCAAATTTTCAAACAAATTCCTGGAATTGTGCAATTCTACTTCGTCACTTTGTGGAGAATGCAACGGGTATGTGGTATGTTTTGTCAAATGAGTTTTAAATGTTACATGATCGTCGAACACAGGAGTTGATATGAATTTTGACAATGAGTTATCTCCTGTTTTAAACTCATCATTATAATTTTCCGTATGAACAATATTATCAGAAGTACTCTCCGAGTTGACACCATACTGATCATCGTACCCTAACTGAGTAACACGGTTTTTATCACGTACTGTTGGGTAGTGTTTTGAATGAATAGGTGAGCTAATATAACTAGCCCAGGATGCACCATTGTTAAAATAATCTACTGTAGGCTCAGCTCCTATAAGTTTTCCATAATGTTTATGTCCAGATAATGCAAATTTATTTATTACATCAGCCATTACATCACGACGTTGGTTAATGACCGATGACTCTTTGTTCAGATGACGTTTTAGTGACTTTATATGCAGACTCGATACTATAATCAAAGCCATTGAAAAAATTGTTTAATTTATGTGCATGTTTTATAACTGCGCAACAAAACATGCGCATACAACAAAAATGCGCAACAAATATAAACAGCAACAGAGTTACAAAAAAACACTTTTAGATAAAATAAATAAATGTCGTGTTAAAATTTTTTTTTGCTGTAAAAAGTTGTAGTAAATTCAATTTTTTTTTAACTTAAAAAAAATCTCAATAACAACAAATACGATATATAAACAAGTAAACAAGATATATATATATTTCTACCTATACATGAACAGCCAATATAAAGGTAGACGAATACTCCGTACATCTCTAAAATTTTTGTTATTTAAAAGAAATTCTCATGTTTCCAAATTCAAAATGTCATTAATTTTTGTAGAGTGTAAAATATGATTTCATTCAGAATGCTTTTTCTACTCTTAAGTCAAAAATTTTTTGCAAATGAATAAACATCAAAAAACTTTTAACGGAAACAAATTTTTATTTACCCTATAGCAGTCGCTTTGGCATTGTCGTTAGCAAAACTGCCGTTGTCATTCATTAACGCTAAACTTTTGGGCATAACGATAAACACTGTTTTAACTGTTTATCTGCTTCATTGAACAAATTTATGAATAAAGAAAAAAAAAATTGACTTAAAAACTTATTAATATTTACAGAAAAACGTTAACATATCGCGTACCTATTATTTTCGAGGTTTTGAATGATAAACACAAAATAACATTTTGATGAAAAAAGCTTTTTAAAGTTTTTTAAAAACATTTAATTACAAAAAAGTTGTAAAAGTTCAAGGAGATTGTTAACGAGATTTGACTAATCTTTCCTTTTTTTTTTATAATTTTGGTAAAGTAGAGAAAATATGTAATTTTTTCATTTAAATACAAAACCTATTTTGAGTAATCATTCCAAAAACTAGTTTAACATAATAAATCTTTGGTGTTTCTGTCATGATGTTCATTAAATTTTTTTCAGTTTAAATCAGTAGTTCCTAACTGGTGGTCCACGGACCCCTAGGGGTCCATGAGAACTTTTTAGGCGGACCACAAGGTAAACGTAAATTCTAAATATTTTTTCGGTTAGTGAATTTTAATTGTTACGTTTTTTTTTCTGTTTAAAGAAATAAATTAAGTCTTAAATTAAAATGTAATTTATTCTAAAATACTATGTTAAATATCTGTGTTAACCAATTTGACGTTAACCGTCGAGGACTTGCTGACCACTACGAAGTAATAAATGCTATATAATATTCTTTCATCCGTAAATTTTAAATTAATCTCATCTTATGGTAAAAATATTTTTTCAAACTGATTTGTTTGAAAGCAATTTTAATAATCTCAAATGAATATTTACATTTTAGATGCTTTTTTTATTATTTTTTAAATACTTTAGATGCCTGAAAGTGAAAAAAGGTCATATTCAGATGAATTTAATAGATATGGTTTTACCTACATGCTTAAAGAAACCATTAGCTACCCACAATGTGTTAAAAAAACCATTAGCTACCCACAATGTGCTATCTGTTATAAAATACTAGAAAATTACAATATGAAACCCTCAAAGCTTGCTATTCACTTGAATATGTGTCATTCTAATCTTCGAACAAAAGATACTGATTTTTTCAAAAGAAAATTTGAATCACTGAAAGGATGTATGTTGGATAAAACTTGGGTTCACCAAACTTAACAGAATAAAGTAGAAGCATATTATAAGGTTTTATAACTAATAGCACTGAAAAAAAAGGCTCAGTCATTGGCTGAAGAAGTTCCATGTACAAAAGAAATCGTTAGATTGAGCAGCCGTAGCGCAGTGGTAGCGCACTTGCCTCAGAAACAAAGTTTCCGTTGTTCAAAACCCACCTCTAGGCAAGTTTTTCGACATCGGTTAGGATGGAGGCGTGAACATCCTATTAAATGCTCATCCGCAGTGCTCTGTGATCAGACCAAAAGGGTTTTTTAGGGCACCTAAATAAAATTAAAGAAAACTCAATAGATTATTATTTGGAGAAGAAACTCTAAAGAAAATAGATAATATATCTTTATTAGGCCAAAAATCAAACGAAGGCTAAGTGATATTTTATCAAATATTAAAGAAAATGTTATTAATGAAATTAAAGAATCACCATATTTTTTTTATTCAGTTGGATGAGTCCTGTAGTAGATTATTCCCACCGCCTGAATGATTCCATCCCTTTATGAAAAAATCAAAACAAGATTGCGCTTTTGGGTTATAACTTAAAACCCGAAAGCGCAAAAGCAGCTGATGTTATGGAAATTTTAAAACTGTTTTTCAATGACAATCAATTACAATAGAAATATTTATTTGGAATTGCTACTGATGGAGCTTCTGCCATGATAGTTTGTAAGTCTGGATTGCAAACTAAGGTGAAAGAGATTCAAATGTAGTTGATGTACTCTACTTTATTCATAGACAGGTTTTCGCAACCAAAACTTTACCAGGTAGTTTGAAAGCTGTATTTAATTAATTAGTCAAGTTGGTCAATCATATAAAATCTTCTGTTCTTAACATTCAATTTTTTACAAAATTTTTGCTCTGACCTCACTCTTTGCAAAAATAGGCGATAACTGCCTCGTCCGCACCCGAGAAAACCGCATCATTCCTGTGAAAGCTTATGACCATGGGATTCCGAAAATGTAAACATTTAAATCATTTGCCTACGTCTGTGAAAGAAAATCAATTTTGAAATTTTCCCTTATTACACATTTATGTGAAACGACAGCATTTCTATTTTTTGCATTTTTACAGCTTTTATTAAATGTAAAAAACTTCTAACAAAGGTAAAACATAGATTTTTGCAATATAATTTTATAATTTTGAAGATGTAAGAGCACCGCAAGGGCTGTGTGAAACTTGTAGAACTGCTCTGAGGAAACGTTATGAAGTACATCCTGGTGAATTACCAGCTCTTTTTGACTTTGAAACTATCATTGTCAAACCACTCACAAGAGGAAATCTTTATGATTGCTTGATTAGTCGCATTGGGCGGTTGAAACTGACTGAAAAGCACCCTCTTGACACTGACACAAAAGAAGAAAAGATTTCTGACAAAAGGTGCTCAAAATGCCTGTCACTAATTGGTAGGGGATTGCCATATCAATGCTCTGTATCACAGTTTAGAGAGAATATAAGATCTCTGGCAGCCAATGATGGTAAAGTTGTGGAACAGATTGCATCTTCAATAATCACAAGCAAGGATGCATCTCCAAATGGAACAGTTCGACTTTCACAAACCAATTGTGGGAGAGCATTGCCTATAATTCCAGGTAAACATATGGTTACATCATTTAAGTATTTTGGTAAAATTTTGCTGTAAAGTTAATTTTCATATATTTTAGGACCATCAAGTGCAAAACAGCTATTCAAGGATCACCCAATTGTAACAGCGCAAGATCTTGCTCAAGTTCAAATAAACACAGGGTTGTCCAATAATGGCATCAGAAAGCTTGCAACAACAGTTAACAATGTAAGAACAACCAAAGTCTTGGAGCCATACATTGTTAAAAAATTTCAAAACCTTTGGAAAAATCTTGAAGAGAGCTTTACTCAGACCACAGCGGCATTTACAAACGCGGACAAAACAACTTCAAATTACTTTGTTGCACATTGCAAGAGTCTCGGCGGTTAAAAGTCTGTCTCGGAGTTTGTGAATTGGACCCAGAGATGCATAGTGAAGCTTCACCTCCTAGCAAACGCTTGCTTACATCACATCAAAGGATACAGGAGTGAAAAAATAACTTCTTGTGGCTGTGGCTGAAGGAGTTCAAGAAAATTACAACAATGTGAAAGTCATTTTTTCTTATCTCGACATTCAAGTGGTCAATTTTGTTATCTCTTGTGACATGAAATTGGCTAACATCCTGTGCGGTCTGCAGGCTCATTCAAGGTTCGTGTTTCGGAGTTATAGAGAGAGAGGGTTATAACCACTATTAAGTAGCCTCCTCGTCTGCAGTGGCCTTCTCGGCCTTGAAGAGGTGAATAAAAAAAAAAAAAAAAAAAGATGCCTAATACAACAAGCTTTTTTATACTTCAGTGCGATGGTTATCTGCTGAACACAATAAGTTACTATTTTATAATTCAGTGCAATGGCTATCTGCTTTAAATTTTTTGCAAAATCTTCCATCAAAGTCCTCCAAATTACCTGATGGATACCCAGCAACACTTCTAAGATCAATCGTAAATGCCATTGTTATTCCTTTTTCCATACTTTTTGAACTGTCAATGTCAAAAATGCCATACCTTTAATCTGGAAAACCACTAAAGTGCACCCCGTCTATAGGAAAAGAAACCCGTCATTAACCACAAAGTATAGACCTATTTCTATGACGTGCATTGTTTGTAAGGTTATGGAGTCAATAATTACAGAATGCATTAAAGTCTATTTACTAATTAATAACCTTATTACTGCTCATCAATTTGACTTTTAAAGCGTAGGTCCACCTGTACACAGATGCTGACAACCTTTAATAAATAGACCAATGCTACTAATAACAAAAAGATAGTTGATATTGTATATATAGACTTTAAGAAAGCCTTTGATTTTGTGACTTACTCTAAGTTACTGTTCAAACTGCATTGTAATGGTATCCAGTATAAATTATTTAACTGAATTGCTAATTTTTTAACAAATCGTTCTCAATGTGTCTGCGTTGATAACTCGTATTCAAACAAAATTCTTGTAAAGAGCGGAATACCTCAAGGGCTTGTTTTGGAACCCATCTTATTTTTAATTTTTATAAATGATGTAACTTCATGTATTGATGGTGATTGGAACATTAAGTTGTTTGCTGATGACAGCAAGTTATATTAAGCAAGCAATGATGGAAAAAACATACACCTCATCATTACCTTTAAAAATTTTCAGAATGGTCGAAAGTTTGGCAACTTAATATAGCAACCAAAAAATGTTTTCATCTACACTATGGAAGCAGTTCTTTACCATTAAATTGATATTCAATGAAAATTGGTACACCTAATGAATCTATTAAGACAATACAAGATATCGATATAATCATATCTTTGGATATGGAATTTTCTTATCACTGTTCATTCATTGCAAGCAAGCCATATTCTTGTTCCTACTTACTTTTAAAATCCTTCATCAGTAACAATTTCAAGCTTCTGATCAAAGCCTATAAAGCCTTTATATTCGACCTATCTTAGAATCTTGTACTTCTGTGTAGAATCCCCATCTTTATAAAATATACGTCGGTTAGAAAAAGTTCAGAAATCCTAGAAGTATCTGTAAAAGAAGTCGTATTCCTTATAAAGATTATTCTTCAAGACTCAATATCTTCGATCTAGAATCCTTTGAATGAAATAAAATAAAATTTGATCTTGTAATGACCTATAAAATTATACACAACCTTGTCAATCTACCTTTTTCTTTTTTAAAAAAGTTTTTTACATTTGCTCCTTCTTACTATCTTGCAAGATGTCATGTACAAAAACTTTATACATAAAGATTTTTCTACTGTGAAAGAATTACCAA